CGCATACATGCATACGCATTCTTAAGCTGCGGGGGTAGGGTAGAAGGACCAGTATCTCTCTAAGAAAGACTTTCTTGGGCTGATCTTTAGGATGTTCAGCAGTAGTGTGCTGATAGCGACATCGCTCGCCGAGGACACATCGCCCAGCTTGATAATTTTGACATAAGATGCTTGCCTGGGACTGGGATGAGATTTTCTTCCGCATAAACTGATGAAATGATGAGCTCGCCTCGATAGCGAGGATACCGATGGAAACGAAGGCCAGCGGCAGCAGATAAAATAAAGGGGACATACGAAGATGTGATAAATACTTACACATTATCTCTCCACATCGCAGTCTAGTGTAGGCAATAGCTTCCCTAGACCAGTGGGTAGAGTGTATTGCACGGAACATAGGGAGGAGTCCCGATCGCCAAGTGAGGGTGCGGACGGAGGTGTCACCAGATTAACTCTCGAGTTACAGTAGAGCTGTTGAGATGATTGTGGAGATGTGTATATGGTCGAAGTGGTAGACATGACCCCTATCAAGTATGGTCACAATGGATGGCAAATCAGCATGATGATGGCGGATGGAAAACTCCCGATGTGAAAAACTGCGCCCGCCGGGAGTCGAACCCGGGACACAAGCATGGGAAGCTTGTATGATACCGTTACACTACGAGCGCCGATGAAAATCTGATCAACTTCGACTCCACCTCGCAGAAATCAGTGGCCGACATAGTTAACTTAACTACAACTCGATTTCCGACGTCATCCGAAGCGGCACTCAGGGGTCGTTCAATAAACCGATTTCGAAACTCAGAATCGATTCAAAGGACGCTTTTTACACGTATAATACGATGCTAGAATCGCTTCTGAATTCCAGAATTGTTTCAATGAACATGGGGTCAACATCCGCATGCGTCAGCGACACTAACGAGGTAACTGTCCCTCGCCATAAACCCGTGGGTCAAATCTGGCTCCAGTGTGACTCTGTCGAATAACTACTGCTAGAGTTGACCCTAGCCTCTTTGCGAGCTTTCTCATCTCTCCAACGAGTAAACATGTAACAGGTTACCTGCGACCTGCACACTCGAGCTCACGACACATACATATGAAGAGTTTGTATTTGGTTTCATTGATGATTATCGCTGGAGCTTCCGCGATAATGATGATATTGATGATGATTATCGCGATCGCTGGTTCGAAAAAAGATCCGGAAAATCACTGGTAGCTTCTCATACGATGGGTGGAGATTGTTCGAGTTTCATCGTCCAAGATATCTACACTATCAGCGTCTGTCTCAGAGCACTCGGGCAGTTGAGTCGCGGGAGCGAAATTCACGAGTTCGGTGTCGAAAAATAGTGCATCTTGCAGGCTCTAACTTGAAGCTTATTTGCATGCACAATACCATCATCAATTTTTCATTAGACACCGGCAAATGTGGGTGCGACGCCCCCCAGCTACGACACTTGAATGCACGCGATTGGATGACATGAGCGCGAATAGACACCGAGGTGGTCGTCTACAATATACTACTATACCACCTGGCTCAATGGTGCTTACTGGCGAATACCCAGTGTTGGTAAATTCAAATACGCAAGACCAATACCCAGGTGAAGGAATGAACCGTATTTGTCTATTGACAATTATGTTCAAAAATGGCAAGTCTTCTCCATGCTGGCCAAGCCGGATCCCTAAGCCTGGGGAGAATGTTGAGCATCTTAAGAGCTAGACTGCCGGGGCCCTCCGCAGTCACCGATGCCTCTTGAGCAGCTAAGGACCATCCCGCGCAAGCCGCTACGGCAGCATCGAGTGGGTTCTTGGCAACAGCGCAGAAGGAGGTCATGAGGGCACTGAGAGTACAGCCAGTAGCCGTAACAGTGGGGAGCATTGGAACATCATGGCAGATCTCAATAACTCTTTTGCCATCCGTGACGAAGTCCGTCGCACCAGAGATGCACACGACCGTGCCAAACTTCCTGGCAATATGTTTAGCGGCTTCCAACGCTGCATCGCTGCCTATCGTCGAATCAACACCCTTCACTGCACCAGTCTCCCCAGCCAGAGCCAGGATCTCCCCACCATTCCCTCTCAGCACAGTGGGCTTGTAAGCAAGCAGTTCGGTAGCGACACCCGTCCTGAATGCTGTTGCTCCAGCAGCGACTGGGTCCAATACCCACGGCTTGCCGATCTCCATGGCCTTCTTCGCACAAAGCCTCATCGACTCTACCCAGTTGCTTGACAGAGTGCCGATATTAACGTTAAGGGCAGCGGCCATTTCCAAGAACTGGGGAGCTTCCTCCTCAGCATGAACCATGGCTGGGGAGGCACCCGCAGCCAAGAGGGAATTCGCCGTGAAGTTCATCGAGACGTAGTTGGTGATACATTGAGTGAGAGGGTTAACCTTGCCCAACTGTCCCCACAGGCTTGTCACCATATCATTGTTGTAGCGCTTATGGGTGCTCAGCTTCGACCTTATCTCCATGCCAGAACAATATGATTTGAGAAACTTCCTAGCGCGTGACTCGGGCGATTCCCAAGAGTCGAAGATTTGGCTCACAGCGCATACACCATCGGCGCCTCTCTGTACACAGTCTATTGCTGTGACAGGGCTAATGCCTCCGATCGCCACTATAGGCAGAGTCTTCCCAGTCGTCTTCAATGCTTCCTTGAGGACGTCTATCTGATCTAATCCCTTAGGAACTGCCCCAGGCTTGGTAACCGTTGGATAGACAGCACCAGTGGCAATGTAATCAGCACCATCCTCAATGGCAGCGATAGCATCTACTCGACGGCCATAGGTTGATACTCCGAGGATCTTATTAGGACCAATGATGGAACGGGCATCCTTCACAGTCATGTCCGTGTCACCAACATGAACACCATCAGCACCACTAGCCATACAGACATCAACTCGATCGTCAATGATGAGCGGGACATGCCGGGGCATAAGCCTCTTAGTCTCCTTCGCCATCCTCACGTAATCACCAGTACTCACGTCTTTCAACCGCAACTGGACACATGTAGCGCCACCAGCGACAGCAGAGGCCACCATTCGAGGAAGTTCCAGGCTAAATTTGCCATTGGTACATGCGTACACCTTATACAACTCCGATGACATACCAAAAAAGGCACAACTCTTGTCAGATTCCCCATAGTGAACCCATCAACACTCAACACTAATGATAGCAGATAAATCAAGGGTCAATCAAGGACCTCCTAGACATAGTTAGCCCAAACACTGTTAGCAGAGTGGACCAGGGGTCTATTAGTTCCCTGCCCTAGTGGAACCCCACATGAGCGAACTATAACCTCATGGAGATATCCAATAGCCCTCTCAACAGCCACAGGAACGGGATACCCACGCGCCATGAAGGCCGATATAGCACTAGCAAGAGTGCATCCAGTACCATGTGTGTTGATAGTGGCGATCCTCCTGTTGGTGAACTCATAGAACTCATCTTTCTCACGATCATAGAGTACATCCCTGCAGGCCTTGGGATCAGTCTCATCGTGGCCACCCTTGAGCAGAACATATTTCGACCCATACTGTGCCAAGGCCTGTGCAGCTGCTCTGGCCTCGTATACTCCACTGATCTCCTTCCTACCCAGGATACGCTCAGCCTCGACAACATTCGGGGTGATTATTGTGGCGCGCGGGAAAATCCGTTCCTTATACATGGCCAATACATCCTCAGCATTCTTCTGAGCGACGAGATCGTCTCCACTAGTAGCCACTAGAACGGGATCTACAACCATCGGCAGCTCTGCTAGCTTCTCACCAACTATCTCAAGCTGTCTAGCAGTCGGCACCAAACCTAACTTCACAACAGACACCTCGAAATCGCTGGTAACAGAGTTCATTTGGGCAGCGAAGATATCCTCATTTACGACTTGTATTTGCTGGACGCCTTTTGTATTCTGAGCCGTTATTGATGTCAACGCAGAGGTAGAGTACACTCCCAGTGCCTCCAAGGTCTTCAAATCGGCCTGATGGCCAGCACCACCACCCGAGTCGCTGCCACTGACTATCAATACCGTAGGGATCTTCATCGTCCCTTCACTGGGTCGACCCAAACAACCACCAAATGAATCGAAGAAGTCGTACTCGAGCTCCATAGCTCGCCTATAAGCTTGAGCGACCTCGCCAAACTCCCCCGGTCGGATCTGTTTGTCAAGTAGTGACTCCAATATCTTCGCTGAGGTGTTGATAGGCTCATCAGAGTAACTGAGGAGCCATCTACGAAAAGGATGGTCCTCAGATATTTCCTTGCCCATAGTGAGCTCCTTGCCAATCCAAGCATACAGCCTAGCACAGGGTATCACTGCAGCTATCACAACTGAGGGTCCGAGATCAGCAGCCTGACCAATGGCCAGAAGGAAATCAACATACTTGCGACAGGCAGCCTCCGGACCAGTGGCGTCAGGATTATCGATGTAGTGCTGATGACAAGCCTTCAATTCATCACCAACACCGTCAAGCAACGCCAACAAGTCCCCTCCAGTAGCCGTAACATCGCTCTTAGCAATACAGTAGGATAGGGTACGAATGTAGCCATTCAAGTAGAGTGTATCTTGGGCCATATAAGTCTGGAAGGCTGCAGAGTCAAGAGTACCGTCACCTAGGCCTTGGACAAAGGGGTGATGGAGGCTCATACGAGCAAGGTCCTGGTTCTCCTTCCAGAGACGTTCACTAACCCCACCAGGAACAGGCTCTTGGTAGAAATCACGCATTAGGTTAATAATAAACAACTACAATCTCGGATCGATACACGGCAGCACCTCCCTAATGTCAACACACCAACACTGATGGCTTCTCCAACAAAAACGACGAAAACAACAAACACTCACAATTGGTAACTTTTCATAACAAAAACTGATGATTTGATTTCTTCTCATGACCGCACGCCATTAAACAACCTTGGCCTCGTTCTTCAGCTTGTCGACAAGTTCATCGACATTGTTGAGTATCACACCAGCCTTGCGTGCCGGTGGCTCTTCCACTGACGTGACCTGCACTATCAACGTCGAAGTGAACATGAGCGAACTAAAACTCTACTATGGAACCCTTCACACTGCAAGTGGGAAAGCATTGTTACCTGTAGGGTGGACAGGAGATCCACACCCAAGGTCTCCACAGGTATCACTTCGATGGGCTTCTTCTTGGCCTTCATCAAATTCGGCAAAGTAGCGTATCTATTCGAAATGTTGACGACTACGAGCACTAAGATACCTCTAGGCCAGAAATTCCATACATCCACTGAGCAAAGATTCCCAGGAGTCCAGGAGACAGCGCACACAAAACCACCGGGTGCACTCTACATCGTGTTATGTCCCGACAGAGGGCCAACCACAACATCCCTATCACGTTGAGTATGCCTCACTCAACAACACCCATCGGATATTGAAGGGATAGGGACAAGGGCTCCAGAAACCCATTCAGATTTGAGAGATAACGTCCCTAGAGTTTGGTAAAAATGAGGAAAAGGTTCCTAATGTGATATTTACACGGCAAACTGATTGAAGAATGTGTTCCTGGACATGTGGAAGATTCAAAACGAGTTCTCCCCAGTAACATTATAGGTTTCCGGATGATTCCCTGAAGGGTTCACCTTGGAGTGTTGAGTCTGAGGTCAGCCGACATGACCGCAGGCAGAGGTAAATGCACCTGATGGGATAACTCGTGGATGGAGTACTTGAAGTCAGCAGCAGCAGCTTACCGTTTGAATTCCAGTATCAACCTCCCGATCAACTGTCAATTCTGTGTTGTCATCAGATACGACAATCTAACGACATGAGTATGATAATTATCTCATACCACACCTTCGTCACTTTGCTAGCACATGTAGCTTGTGGCCAACCTAGCATGCCAGCCAATAGCTGACTAGTCTGTCCCATATCACCATCTATGGCCTGTTTACCCATTAATACCAATAACGGATCCTGATCAGCACGATAATTTCTCAAAGCACCATCTCCGCACATAGCAGTATAGTGGATGGAGACGAATGATCATCGCTACTGATGATCATCCATTACCTCCCTCTCAACAATCTTCTTTATCAACTTAGCAACCATCAAAGGTGGAAGCTCCTGGTCAGTCCGCAGATGAGTCTGGAGATGGATCTGACACAGAACCCGTTATCATTTTCCCGCACAAGTTCGACCCCCACCACCCACCGCCCGGTCACATCCCATGGCCAACACTTGACGAAGCTGCTCAGTAACCCTGACAGTACAAGTACCTCCCAATGAGTCCTCAAGTCCTCCTACTTGTCGGGACCAGCACAGACAGCGACAACTTCAGATAGGCGACCGGCCTCCTTCATCCGTAGGGCTTCCTGAGGCAGCAATTGAGCATATCTTCCTCCTCATCAACACCAAGGTCAAATTCCCTATTACCTCCACAGCGATTTCACAGAAAGGATTAACACTGTGTTTGACATTAGCGATATCAACACCAGCCTTACTAGCCATAACCTGACCGCACCTCTCCACAATCACTTCCCAACAACATACCCACTCTAACTTTAACTGCATAATCAACAACTCGTTTTATGCACACCAATGCTTTTGACATCAGGAAGGGAGATATAAACGAAAAACACTGAGGAGGTGGTACCCTTGGCAGAAGTCAAAGACCCAGATAAGGTTCATATCGAAACGTTGGTCTGAACATCACATACTGGTGGGAATACTACTACTAATAATCAGGCATCAATTTTGGCTTTCTTAGTTTCCCCTTCTTCCTCCTCGTCCTCCTTCTCTTCTCCTGCTTCTGGAGTTACCATATCCTCTTTAGTGACCACTTTGGTTGCTGTTAGGATGAACCCTTGGGCCGAGTTGGTAGCCGACTGCATTATCTAAGCAGTAGGAGAATATTATATAACATCCCAAGGGATCAACAGTGGCCAACACGAAGAGGAGATGACCATGACCGTGATGATAGTATCCACAAGAAAGATATGTATGATTCTATCAACCTATAATGACGAATACTCTCCAGCGGCGCTCACCGGATGAGTCCTATTAGGCAGAACCTGATGTTCCCTGAGTATAGGTTCTGCCAAAGTAACATTGATCCATCCTGGGGCCTTGATGAGACGTCGCTGTAGTTGTTGGACTAGATCCATGTGACGAGCCAATACCACTAGGGTGCCACAGTAGGGGGTTATTTCTAACATTAAAAATACGATAAGCAAGGATAGTACCCGAGACCTCCTGTATGGAAACCTAGCATCCCAACCTACGTTCCATAACGACTGATACAACTTCGAAGAACTCCTTCGTGGTACCAGAGATCGCCAGATCCATCCAAACAACTATACCACCCTCAGGATTGAGCACTGGATTTCCCACAACCTACCACAACAATAAGCCTCAACAGAATGGTAGTACCCCCAGGATTAGAACCCAGGATATACCCTACCGATCGTTTAGTTGAATGCTTATGATAATGTCGAAGTCCATCACTGCCCACTTCGTCATCTTGCTTGCCCTCTTCCTCTTCCTTCTCATCACCCTCTACCAGTTGAGTCTTCGACAATAACGCCCCTACGACCTCCCCTGGGATGCCCAACTCCGTGACAGCCGCATCCGGAGTCGTACCTAACCACGACCGCGCGCCCCGGAATAAAAACCCTCCAACTAGTTGCTAATTCTAATGAAATCGCACGACAGAATTTCCCCATCCTTAGCCCGACTCTGTTACCTCGCCCTCTCGCAAGGCGTTCAACTTTTTGACCCCGCTGTAGCGCTGCTGCTGTTACCAAACCACCACAGCTATCATCCCATACAACAAGAGAACTACAGTGGGATGTATGACGTAGGATAGAGCCCACTAGGTCGAACCTGAACTCACAAAGGAGTGGTATGAGAATTTGGGGAATATAAATCACCTCGGTCCGTTGGCCGCCCCTGGTGCGTAGTGACAGTAATTGAATAAATTCAATGGCAGTAGTGTGACTTCTCTCAAATACTTCTTTTGCTTCTTACGCAGATATTTCTCTTGGGAGAATCTGATAGGAAAAATGTAAATTCGACGTCTCTTAACACGATTTAACACCACAACACCGCTGCTATCTATACACTCGATATAAATGTATCTACCGCATTCCAACCTCACAATCGGAGAAATCGGATCCGGAAAACTGTCCACCTGCCTACTGTGTCTTCATCTCGAACGTTTTGCTCTTCAAAGCAGCGTCAGTGGCAGAAGAGGCGCCGATGGCGGGTTGCTTATCATCCGAAGTCTGCTCTAGGAACCTATCCATCGAACGACCCTGGTTCAATCCCCACACTATGTCCTTGATGGTCAACACGGATAACAGCAGCAATCCCGTTGGAATTGTATTACTGATTATTAACCGTCGTATCAATCTCCACAGCTGCGTCATCAGAGGTGGCAACCTACAGAAAATGAATATTCCAAGAATCGAACTCGGAAGCTATTGGTTGCAGAACTAACACACTAACCTACTGAGCTAGTTCACAATCTTAAACTTACCTTGCTGCATTGACTCCTCACCCATCCTTCACCCTCACGGTGGTGTATCGTCGACCCATAACGTCGACCAATGAGAGCAGAAACTGAGCATTACATTGGAAGTGGTGCAGCCCCTACCCAGAATGTCGCTCTGATGCACTCCGCTCCGCTGGAAAATTCTATACAAACCATACAGCTCGGGGATCAATTCCGACCTCGTTAGACAGGAACGCCACGAGTGATCGAATTTCGTGGCGCGTGAAGGCGCATAACACGTTGACTCTACTCCATTTCTCAATCTGCGCCTTACGACATAAAGACTCAGAATGAGCTAGAGGGTTGATAAAAACACCAGGTCCAGGGATCGAACCCGAGAGCTCTCTCACCTGGCACAACAGTCTTGCCAATCTTAACGTTATCCTGCCGCTTCGGTCGAGGCTTCTTTCCTTTCGGACTGTGCTCTCCATCATTACCAACATCACTCTTCGGAGCCTTGGGTATGCGGACGACCTTCGCACTACCGTCCGATGCTCTGAACATCGAACGACCCAGGTTCGATCCCCACTCTCGCCAGCTATTATTATAAGAGTCTTATATCGGAAAACAAACGAGATTCGCACGCTCTCCAACAGCCACAAAGTGGAGACCAACACACATGCGTCAAACCCAGTCCCTCACTACCGTACTATAACCGACTTGCCATAGTCGATCACATCACAACCCTCAATAGGGAGGGGGAGGGTAGTCATACTATTACAACCGCTGATATGACCATAACTATTCTATACACACAAATGATAGATACTTCTAGATCCTACCCATGTAATAAGAAACCAACCCAATATGAGGTAGTAAGCAGGAGACTCTGAATGGGTATGCTACTACTACTACTCGACCACTATACAGACGACTACAGTAGACGGTATGCGATAGAATCAATCCAAATCGGTTCGGTTCTTAATCCTTTTGATAATATCAGATGTTGATACCCCCTCTGTTCGAGGCATGATCTGCAGTATGCCCATTTCCCTTGGGACCTAAGTAACACAGACGACAAATCTTGCATCTCTTGCGTTTCCTCAACGCCATCTCTTACCTTGTAATAGTTGTCATCAGGCTTGTCATACTCCGGGCTTGCCAATACAACATGGATATTCCATTTTCGGATGAATTCTTTATCCATACCGAAACAAGGCGCATTGGGGATAACCTTATACACACACCTGAGGGAATACCCGATAGCGCGTGATGCTCATGAATACTCCCTATTCCTACCTTAGTGATTGTACTTCTGCTACTCTCTCTTCCAATGTCATTATGGGGTCCCTCTTGTATCTGAATTATCATCACCAATATAAACAACTCAACTACTACTACTACTACTACTTCCGCACATCTTCGTCGCTCATGACACCTACAAAGAGTCGGTTTCCGTAATTTAATGCTCGTGCAATGTGATTTTTATGACCTGGAACACAAATCGATCAGCAGGGCGAGCGCGATGTTCCTCTTACCAAGATGGCATAGGTCGAAGACTCCGTCAATATAGACATTCTTGACTGGAGTGAACATTGGCAGGTTCATGTACGAACAAATATCGTAGAATATCGAGCAGTAGTAAAAGACTGCGCAGGCTGAACAAAGATAACCATCCCTTATAACAGCTCAATTGATTAGCATTCACAATCTCTAATCAAAAGACCCTAGGTTCTATTCCTAGCCCCGATATACCTCCAAATCTCATTAAAAATCACAAGTGACTACGGATACAAAAGACCTTGTCCTTGATCTATGGTCAAAGCATGTAACACACTAGCAATATTACCTATAATAGCCAACTTATCAAGTAAGGATACCATAGCCATGAAGACAAGCCAACCATGCACATCACGATGAGCCATACGAGCCACCACTGCAACCAATCACTCAAAGGACACCACACTGCTTTACTCCTCCACTCTACTTACCCAAATCCGTTGTAACGATACTCATAAAGAGCCCATCACAAATAATGGATTCCAACGATGTAGAAATTGTGATGCCCAAGACAAATAATAAACCTGATAGCAATAACGGGCTACATATTTTATGCTGTTATTTCTCATCATTGATTGTAGCCATTCTAAACTTCATAAATAGCCCTAGCACTGAGTGGCATTTCAGAGCAATCCACCTTAGGGTATTATTACTCGGCACCGTCCGATACAACAGACAGAATAGTAGGATATTCCTGGTCGCTGGAGTCTCTTTGATTACCGCTACTCGAATGATAAGGGCTATCAGAAAGGCGTAGTAAACAGCTGAAAAGAAATACAAACACTGTTGAATGCGAAGATGACGATGCAAAACCACTAAGGTGAAAACGACGGCTTCGCTAGAGTGATATTCATCCATCTAATGAGCGATCACCATGATTGCCAAGCCGATCGAAAAGCTATTAATAACCGTTAAACCCCTCCCCCTTTATTACTATGGACTTGGCTAACAGGATCTCCCGAGAGTGCATCCGGCAACATAGCCAACACACGGCTTATAGGACCCCAGCTAAACAACAACAAATCAACATATTACCGCGCGCCACAAAATTATTATCCGCCTTACAAATAGTCGAAACCAGTGAGGACCTTAACAACAATCGCCATTTGGAAAACGAATAAAGCCTCTCCAGGGCCTGTAAAAAGGCCATACGTTATGAAGCCTTTCTTGAATGCCGATAATTGAGACCATAAAAATACCAATTGCCCTGTTTGAACCTGTAGGATTATATTAGGCATGCGCTGTATTCCATGATATGTATACATAAATGGTCGTCACTGCAGATGGATGCCATAAACGTCGCGTTCATTAATTTCTTTCTTGGTGACGATTGAATCAACAACGACCAGATAATACAAATTTACTAATAACCTTTCTACTATCCACACCTGGCCGCCGATTCAATAAAATATATATGGAATTCACGAGATCGATTCTCGCCCCCACGATTTCCATCAATCTCAGTTCATCATCACTTCATAGGCCGACTAGGACGCCATTCTGTAAAAGCGATTCCAATATCTGTATCACCATTCGTGACATGCATCATCACCACTGAATAAATCCGCACTACCAACAGAACATCATAAATTACAAAGTGTTTCTAACAGTATGAGGCTGTATTGTTACTCCTTAGATTCCACTACTCTTAGAATTAACTCCGTACGATTCGCTGTACTGTACATTTAGCTACTGTTGTACACTATAAACAATGAACAGTGTTATGATGTTTCTCATCAGTGGATCGCCAATGTCCCTTCCCACTTATTACTGAATACCAAATGCATCTAGCATCAGATTCGATATCAGGGTCGAACCCCATGAGCATTGCCATAGTTATTATTATAAAGATTACTGCTACATTATCACATGCCTGGTTGAAGAGATAACCCAATGGTGACTCGTTCCTAAAAATCATATATTTTTCTAATACACATCAGAGGAGAAACCCTCAAAAGGCACTCAATGCTGAAATTATTCACGATACCAAATTGTCGTGATTTTTTCGGTAATCCTTTCACAGACTACTACAGACCACCATTCATATGAACATAATTCGTTTATAGCCAACTATAGCCTTGAACTAACCTGATGTTCTTAGCATGCTTCCCATCCACACAATCGAACAATTGATAAAGTGTGAACATAACAATAGCCGTTGCTGAGGCGAAATATGGATGAGTCTTGCGATACCTGAATAATAACTTTTCCTAAAGGTGATGAATCAGATGAGCCTAGCGATGAGCAATCTGTAACACTTACAAGGTGTATAGGCACGCTACGGCGATTTCCCATTATTCCCACCAGAAATTCGTTAAAAGGCGCATCTCATTTTTGTTCTCATACTATAATGTCAGGACACCATGGTGCATATACATACGAGAACTAACGGAGTGGGAGGTGATGAAAGGGAAGTCTCGAAAGCTTTCCAAATGAGTCCTCACGATAGTCACTACATAAAGGTATAGTAGTAGGCCTGTAGTGCACATACTAATGATGCCAATGTTAACATATTCTGTGCTAACGTTGCAGAATATATCTCGCCAACTGAAAGAGAAAGACACTCCTGAAACGTATCGTCAGAGTCGACCCTACAAGTCGCCGATTGGTGATATAATACGGGTTGAAACTGATTTATCGAAAATATCTAAAATAACCAAAAACTTCGAAGAGCTTCTAACTCATGGACGAGTAATTACCATTTTTCCATGTAGATATATTCTTTAGGTCATTAGGAGTAAGGAACCTTGTTCCAAAAGGCTCCACACCAGTAGTATTACTCGGTATCGTCTTATGAGATTGAGTCTCAACGTGAGGAGGGGACATATCACGTAAACAATACCACTACTGAGCAACCATCAAATTGCCCATGTATGATCAACTAGTAGAATATCCCGAACAGTTACCCATTCCCGACTCAACCAGCATCGTTCGTTACGAACCCGCAGTTGAGAAGCTGAATTCAATCAAGTCTAAATTTAATGGCGCGCGCTACTCTCTTTCGAGTATTTGAACATTTGATAAATTCTGAGAATAATTCGAAAATTGGTTTTCCACGAGGTACAGCGCCAGATAATCATCACACTATCTGAGATTCTCATCACCAATGTGTACAACGAGAACAGTTAACACCGCGTACAGAGGGTACTTGTACAGGACTGTTGTGAGAGACTCCTATGGACTAAAAATAGGCTGTTCTCTTACGGACATGCTGAAGAATGTTAAGAATTTGAAACTATAATAACTCTACTACTAATGATATCTTGCAATACCACTTGTACATCTCCTCAGCATCTCTTACTATACATCATGGTCCCTACTACAACCACCCCAGCACAATACAGAGAGATATTGGCAAAAGCTCAACGTAATAATGAAGGCGAACACAATAGGCTGGCTACCGAGCTCAGGTTCAACCCATTTCACAATGGGGACCGAGGACGAGGCCAGACAGTCGAGTTCGAACTCCTGGGCATCATCATCACAACTAGCTCACTCTGATCCTAGAGTAACCCAAACTCGATAGGGAGTCCATACCGTGTTGGTATTGTAGGTAACCTACGTCGGCCGTCACACAACGCCTTATAAGAATGCCTCTAAGATCAATATGACATCACCAATAGCATTGAAAGGAGCCGATGCGTACAGGAGTGAAATGTTCCATGAATATCGGTAAGATGGATGTTGCGAGATGAGATGCACAACAACTCCTACAGTGGCCATTCCCTACCACCACCACTACGATGCCACAAACCTCCCGGTCAAGTCGATCTAAGTGGATATTCTGATATTAGTATAGAAGAACGTTATCAAAGCCAAGCCATGCTAGACAACATCCAAGGCCTCACAAGTAGGTATGCTCATTTCTAAATGACACCGAATGCATCTCCTAGGACGACGACCATCTTGGAATAATCTATTCGCTGGATCGTCGAAAAAGGTCTCCAGTTGTGGTATAAGGGAGACTATCATTCCTACTATTGGTGACATAGTTACCGGAGGACCACAGACAAGTAAGGAAAAGACGAGGAATCGATTAAGTGCTCCTTGCAGGCCAGAAGTATCCTGATCGTCGGAAGAGGAACGGTCCAGAAGACTTCCGAGCACTCTCATCAGACTTCTCCATGCTTCCACCATTCGATGAGCCGAGAGTTCACCGAGATCCAGTGAAAGTGAGCAACATCCCTTCATGAAGACGACGACGGTGGTCACACTCAGGGCCAATACATTCGAACGGTAGAGACCAACCCAATGAAGACATCCAAAAAGATAATAGATGCATCCAACAGAATAGCCCCGCCACTGAGGACTCTAGCAGCTCTTAGACCCATGCCCGTCCTACCCATGTAACCTATGCTATGTTGTGTTGTCTACTGTAATACAGAGTTACTACTAGCTGTAGCCACCTCTAGCAACTACTAGGACGTGATAGTCGGCCTCTCACGATCCAGTCTGATCGAATCCACCCTCATTCAGTCTAACTGTCCTCTTCCGAGTGGGTATACGATATGATACCACTGGAAGGAACAATGAATCGCAAGTAACTATCCGTCACTACTCTCTCCCGGCTACTTCTACCAACACGTTACCACACCAACTACAGTAGATAACGTAACCCAACGTACCCCTGACCGACGTACCACATATTAGCCCAAACCGTAGATGCTTCCGACAAATTATTATTCAAAAACATGGATACCATCACGCCTTGGTTTCGCGCCGCGCAGAAAAGCGACTTGTATGTATCCAAATGGGAAGGATAGCTGAGGGAAGCCACTGAGGTAGGGAATACATAGGCCTTACTATGGACCATGTGAGTAGATGCTACAACACGTGGACAACAGATGTAAACAACAAACAAAGTCTTTACCTAACGCTACAGTTCTGTGGCAGAGAGCTGCGATCGACGGTTGTACTGATTGGTTCCATCCCTGTATGTATTGTGATTACGTGCTGGCCTCTTCTGGTGCCAAGAAGTCTGTATTTCGAACCTCAAGTCCAATCGCTGCCAGGCCAGCCTCAGAGACATACCAGCCGGCTAAGCATCACGGTGGACGAGCACGAGCTGGCCTTAGAATATGAACGTGAAAAAAGCGAATAGTCTTAACTGTATCCACTCCTTGAGAATCAACAGCCGATACGACTGAATAGGAACAGTGATGGTAATAAAAAAACTACGTTATGAGTGACAATAAAAGATAGGCGTCATCGACAACTCCCACAAGGGTATCATCAACCATGTGTAAACGGAATCTGCCGGGGCGAACGATCTCCCTGAGATCGGCACTGAACTCAAGCCCCGGATATGGCCATCGAATGGGAACATGTTACCATGCTACAGGACTACGATCACTCACATGACACTTGGTAGGAGAGAGAATCACGAGACAGAGGAAGAGAGATTATGAGCAGCTCCTACATCAACACATACCCAACAGGTCTATACCGATCCATAGGGCAAACGATGCTCACTATGATAGCAGGCAGCAACGATACTGACTGTGTTGTCAAGATGGCTGTCGAGGACGCCAATGTTGCCTTTGATACTCAGTGAGGTCTGTTGCCCCATGAACGTAAATACCATCTGAGTCATTATTCGCTGCTCTTGGTTTTATTGATCCAATGTCCTCATGTTGAGCATCAATAGTTAACCATCATTGTTGATCCTTTAACGATGTATGGACAACAGTAATCATGATTGAGAACGTCTCACTAGGTGGTGATGGTAGTCGTATAAGTGACGAACCCTAACACCTTGGGGAGCTCAAGGAAAGCAAGCTGCCCTGTATGGTCCCCCACATACACCGTACTGAATTCGATATCATATTGACTCAATTTCCTTAATTAGGCCAGTTATGTAATGGATTGCTTATTATCCAGATATTAGGATATACTAATAATATATATTGTCATATTAACTCTATGGATACCATATTAATGTATATAGACTAAAAGTATATAACGTAATATGATATATACGTATATTAATAATAAACTAGGCCTTCTCGGAGAAAGGGCGGAGCTCGGCATCCGGGTTCGATTCCCATGCCTGGCGTTTTTCTGCAAAAATATGTTTTTTGCACGGAAATCTACATGGTCGGGGCGGAACCCTAATTTCGTATTTTTCCTAGTATCCCCAGAGCGAGAGCTATCGAATGGTGTATAGCATGTGATCATAACCTCTCTAGATCGAGCTGGATAATTTGTTCGCACGCACGCACGCACGCACGCACAAAGTGTTAGTAAAGTGAGAGAATACGCTCCGCTCGCTTCGCTCGCTCCGCAATTATCAAGGTTCTACCAAATATATACGGTATCCTATTATATATAGCATATGATGTACTAATAACAATATAATATGACAGAATTCGAGCTTATCGGGAACAGGTATATTAACCGCATCATGTTGTAGCATGATGTCGCATCATGTCGCATCACTAACGGATAAACGAGCGTCGTGCAAGGGAAATCGCGATCGGAGGTTCGATCCGACGCGGCGGCATTTTTCGGGTATTTTTTCGTATCTTGCGCTGATTGGCAGATGCAACTGTTCCTACTCAATGGGAATAGCCTATGTCCGACTAGAGCGGATATTTGGTAGCTTATGCTTAACAAGTAAGGGAAAGCCCCCCTCTCCCCATACTCATCATCCTTCAGGCCCCTCACTGGCCATTGTAGCTCTCCTCACGGCTTGGCTCTGGCTGGCAGCTGCTCATAGAGTAGCCTGGATAGAGTGTACTCCCGTCGGGCCTCACAATATCGCCTTTGACTGGGGGTAGGAACCCCTCGGTAGCACTTTCACCATAAGACTTCTGTCAGGCTATTACCGATGAATCGTACCGATGACTCAGAGGCAGCTGAAGTTGACATTAGATTGCGTGTTGGTCTGCAGAAGATGAGTTTCCTGTTCAACGTGAAAGCCATGACCGAATCTTCTTACAGTGGGGAAGGCTCGGACCTCCCCATTGAAAAGGGGAGGTCGTCAATTGACTGGTCAGGGGCATCCTTGTGTTTGGTGATTTACAAGACTCTGTAGGTATGTACTGCGAACACTGAGCCACAATTGTATAAGTTGGGAGGAGACCAATTGGTCTCTCTTTCAATCGCGCTCTCGTGCCTTCGTTGATGCCGCTAAAGCAGCAATCGGCGACTGGTCGTCGTCGCCTAATATACACATATCGGCCCAACGTCTCCTAGAACAAGCACAGAAGGGCTGCTCTCATCGTCATAGACTGCATACGATTGGTAAATGGCATTCATTGTTTAGTCATTGTAGTCTCTTGTCTTTAGGTAACATCTGTTACACAGGCATCCTCTCTGTTGTATCGTGCCTCCTGTTAACAGTAATTGGCTTGCTATACATCAGTGCTCAGAAGGTCCACGTAACCGGTGTTCTAATCACATCGGTAAGTGATAACCCTCTTGCCCGTATTAAGTTATAGTCGGTGTTTCAGGCTGCGGCTTCTATCCTGTCAATCATTGTGTGCTCACTCTACACCTTCTACGTGAGGGACTCGTCGACACAGGGCATGTGCTCAACCATTGGAAGCCTCGACACTCTCGAAAACCTCTCCCGGCGGCATTACTCATTGGCTCAGATGGCGGCGTGGCATCCACGGCACCTGGGCTACTGTTTTGCCCTTGCTTGGACGGCATGCTGCTTCACCTTTCTAATCACAGCTATCGCCTATCTTCGGTACATTCGAGCGCGACGGAAAAGGATGAAGACTGATGATATGAGTATTGATCATGATGAGACTGATCATGATGAAAGCTTTGATGAAGATGACCCATTAGAGCGATTATTGCCATTATAACCCTTTTGGGTGTTCATTGTTACAATGTGATAGTTATCCACATGTCAGCTGCACTATTGTGCGTGGTCATTGATTAGGCTATTGTGTTCAGTTTGATGCCGCTGGTTTGGATGATATGTAACTTTGTTCATTCTTCAACCATCTGGTTCATTGGACCAACACCAGATGATAGTAGAACCATCCCATAGTCTGTGCTAAGAGCAAATTGTGGTGTCGCACTGTTTATACCAAAGTATCTTGAAACCAATCCGCCATATTTTCCTGTATTAAGGAAAGAGTAACAGAAAGTAATTCACAATGTAAATACAACGCGTATCTCCCGAAGGGTTAAATTCAAGATATGAATCCTTCATGCTATGGATCGATAATTTTCTCTTTAGCTTCGTTCAGTATTAACTCTTTCTCAAGTTACTATTGGGCAACAGTATTGTATTCACAATGATGAGAATACTTCAATATCATCGCTATCCCTACCATACTCGAGAACACAATAAATTTGATATAGAAACCTTGGGCTAGTTTGAGGCTTGCTTTATACTTTATCACTTCAACTAATACGATATGACTTCTCATCGAATCGGCCTGTAATACACGGCCACCTACCACTTACGCACAGATTCCGTACTTCAGCAATACAATATATAAAAATAACTTGAGCGAATGGACTTTCGAGCGTTAACGAGTTGCAATAAGTGCAATGCTCTCAAAAATCTCAAGGACACACGTAGGCAGTGCCAGTGCAACCGGGCGTAGCCTCATAGCATACACCGTTGGAATTCTGTACCAGACCGAAACAAACGGGGATATCGAGCCAGGACTTGCAAAATGACTTCCAACTGCTAGCAGCACAGTCGGGAACTGATTCACAGGCAGAAGTGCAGGAGTCGAAAGAAGTAGACGTGGCACCACAAGAGACAACCTCGCTGTTGTCCGCTGTACCAACGCTGTGACACTTATTGTCATCTCCACAGTAGCTGAAGATACAACCAGGACGTTCTTCACAAGCACGTTGACAATAACCATCATCAGTGCCGAGCATCTTCTCAGCAATTATCAGAGCAGACCCGGCATCGACTTGATAGACGATGGTAGAGAGGAGAATGACGAACACGCAGACAGTTTGCATGGTGAAGGGGAAGCTGGAGCACTCCAATGTACCACCAATAATTCTTAAGGGTACTACACAGTTGAGTGTCGGTGGATGGGCGACTTAACTCCGTACGCGTGTACAAGAAAGACCATAATGTAACTGCCCAATTACCCTACTTGCACAATGGCGGGCGACATCGTAGCTAGTCCTGCTAAGTCGGGAACTTCCATCTGAGGTGTGGTATTCTAGCACCGGAACACTGCGACATGATACCGACTGAAGCACTTCAACGACTGGCGAGTCTATTGTTGCATGATAATCAGAGGTGGTTGGAGGGCTATGAATCCTCAGTCATGGACACGGTGGCCATGACGTTCTCAGCAGCCGTCCTCATCCGACTTATATAATGCTTCGAGCGCATTTCCTCAAGACGAGAAATAAACTTGGCAACGGACCAAACGTCCACCATGTCTCCCCCACGTTTCACTTGCACCTACTCAACCGAGACAAACGGAAACCCATGACACTGCCACCATCCGAGTCGCACACTAGAACGCAGTCGAGGACTGGTGTGCTGTTGTTTTCGCAACTGCGAGGATATCAATCGATTTAAAACACGTGTGTCACGTGTGTCACGAAGCTAGAGGTTCGGTTGGGTGTGGTACATTTACTCCAATTTAGAAGAGATAATATAGAGTTGTTGCCGAAGTTTGAACTCCTTTTTCCTCTCTGGAGGAAAACCTCAGTCGTTGATAGAGTGACTAGTGTCACTTGGTCTCCGACCTTGAGGTTTGGGCCAAGCTCACTACTGCAAAGTAGTGGCTCTAGTCAGCCCCACGTAGCATATCCTCGCAGAGCAGAAAACAACAAGTCGTCGATGATAATTGAAAACAGCATGACAAATGCCCAACTTACGGCGATGCCTGGCGGGGATGAGACTCCGTCATCACCCAACTCTCTGCGTCGATCTGCCTCGGCTATTTGAGAGACATCGGCGAGTAGGACTAGGTTCAAGCTGATACCCGAGCTAGAGCGTAGCTCATGTAAAATATCGTTAGCCTCTTGGACTCGTGTTAGAACATCGCTGTACCTAATGATGATGACGAGTGCAGTGAGGGTGGTGGAAGAGGAGGTTGAGCTACGTGTGGATGAATCGTCCACGCTGATTGACTACTCCCATGTCATCAAGGATCTTATTGATGACCTTCACCTCTCCCATCATCTTAGCCTAGTTCACCCGTCTACCATACTCAAGCGATAGCGGCTACCGTTTGTGTATCAGCAAGAGAGCTTTCGGCGATAATCTCATGAATATCCTCCTCCACCACCGCATCCATTACACCAGACCTAGTCTGGGTCCTGGTCTGCAGAATCGGCGAGCCTGGTATGACCTGTTCAATCCGAGTCGAGTTACCCGACACGCAAGCACCTACTAGACGGAACACAAAAGCTCTTCCGAAGATTATCCTCTCCCCGTTCCGAAGACGATGCCGTTGATCATTGTCCGCGATAAGTCTGCCACCTACTACTAATCGACCTGTCACCAGCATGTCAATGCACCATTGAGACGACTCAACCTCACCAGTGCCGTCCTGAAGGGCTGTACGCTGAACCTCAACCACCGTGTCACCATTCAAGGTATCCACTGTCAAGATGCCTGAGACAGAACGACGGCAGCATAGGAGGCCTGGTAGTCGAGGAGATGATACAGAGCTCATCTGGTATGCCCAAGCCGATAAGCACGATATCGTTATCGGGACCACAACCAACAGAAGTGTGGTGTCGCGGGTCAGGTCCTGAAGATATACGAGTGTGATGGGTTGAAGGTGTGGTATGACCCCCGGGGGAGTTGAGGAAGTACACTAGACAACCTGACAGAGATGGATCGTCGCTGATATTGAGTATGTATCTGCAATAGAGTCCTTCCGGTGATAAATCTGTGTAATGTAGTCTTACGGCTCCTTGGCCTTCCTGCCAGTTACTTCGTGTATATTGTCCATATGTAGCTCTTTCAGAAGCCTACTAGAAGCACGAAGCTTGGCATCCCACTTGTCGAGCGAATCCTCGAGATAGCTGAGCCGTTATCATACTAAGTCTTGGTAGGCGATGGAGGCCACCTTTGTGCTCTTAAGTCAACCGTGGGGGAGACTGTTGAAGATACTCCCAACGTCGCTGATTGCTCCTCAAGCATCATGGCCGACTGACGCATCTTGTATCTGAATACATGAGCTCCTCTCTTGCTGCAACCATGAATAATGGTGTCAGCTCCGTATTGGCCATCAGTGATGGACCATCACCTCCTCCGTCTCTGTTGACTAGGTGTGCTTGCCTGAGGTGTTAGATCAGGACTTGGAGACCTCCGACTCCCACTCCTGATGACAGCTTCCGGGATGACCGGCTTCGGGTCGGGAGTACGAGAACGTATAGGTATCTATTAACGAGAGCTCCCCAGGTTGCATCCTGAGGGCACTGCTCTTACTGTCTTTATCTTCTTCACACTACTTGCGAACCTTAGAGTGGACAGCGTTTCTTCCTGATCGTGTCGGGCAGGGGATACTGCTGCTAGCATACAAGTATGGCTATTCCCCGTTAGAGCATCAGTAAGGAGATATCTATCATACCAGGTATGGTGATACGATGGAGGTTCTGGCTACGTGAGCTTGCTTTGTCGAAAAGGAATGTGTGATGCCGAGCTAGCCTTAGCGATCGAGAGCTTCGATATGACTTGCCCCAGCACCTACTGCCCATTCCGATGGGTCCGTATATTCTATTCCTACTGACAGACTTGTGTTTATTGATTGACCTTCCTTCATTCTCTGACCCACAGCGCCACTTCTCTTAGTTCTCTCGGAGCCTGCTAGGTCGATTAGATGCACCGATGACGTCCCTGTGCACAACATAATGGCTGGACTGTCCAGTTGACAGTGTCAACAGCAGCCCTCCCCTACTGTGCTCTCGTTGGCTCGCGCTGATCCTCTTCCTCAAACGTATAGTAAACACACTATGACTCCTGCTGCTCTGACTATTCATGTTAGTCTGCGATACGACACTGTATAGGGGACATGTGCAGAAATACAACCTGGGCAGTGGCTCGTTGCTTGAGCCCTAGATTGAGGAACGACAGGCATTCGTCCAGAGAACCGCATGCTGCCTCAGTAAGGTTAGGCACCTGGGCGAAGGAGTTTGGATTGTCAGCTCGACATCATCGACTACGAAGACCCCTTTGGTAGGGTGTTGATGTATGAAGAGCTTCTTCTTCTTATTGGTGTTGTCGATGAGCTCATCAACCATTACACTTGGTGGGGGCGGGGTGTTTGGTCTTGCCTTACCAGGTGAGGGCGGCTTTAATGCGCTAGGGGACTTCAGTTCATTCAACTGAACCACACATAAACTTCCCAGTGTAGCCCATGATGTAACTGACTGATCGTCGTTGCAGTGCAATGGCGTCCGGTATCGTCTGTGGATCGAGCAAGTCTCGGAGTTGTTCATTATATATCTCCAAGAAGGATACCGTCACACACAGCTGTTTACCTTCATGCTTTTCCTCTTCCTGAGCGACTGACTGCCTGTAATGTTCAAAAGAACACATGTCCTACTTTTGCAGCGCTAAAAATATCATCTATCAGATATCGCAATACGCCAGGTGAATCTTCAGTGCCTGTACCATGAGATATTGACCTATTTGGTATCCTAAAACGATTACCGAGGATGCTGTGAGTTTTGCCACTGCCAGTTTGACCATAGGCAAAGAGGCAATTGTTGAAGCCGTTGAGAACAGAGTCTCTAATAGGCTTCCCAATGCTAGCGTAGAGTTCGTCCTGAGCCAGCACGTTGTGGCCGGCTTCCTACTAGGAAGTAAGTCACCTGGGTGATGCTTGGTGGGAATGAACTGTCGTAAGTGAAGCATTTCGGTTCGACTTTCGGCGGTCCTACTAACTGGTCTGTTTCAACATCAATGGCAACGGTACTGCCATCAGTTGTAACCTAAAGCTACAGTGACCAACGTCTCTGTAGTAGGGATTCTCCTTGCAATGATAGGCATGTCCGCCTCCCTTGGCATGATAAGAGGCCGTATCCTCACAGCTACTTTGATTGCTGTCGACATAGCAACAACTTCGAAAAGAGCCTGAATCTTGATCTGAGGATGTTGCTATCGCACATCTTTGATAATTTCGTGGCGCAGTGACGAAACTTGTGCCTGCGTTCACCACCATCACTTTAGCAAAATGCTGCTCAGAACTTTGGTGAACGCTTTCGCTCTATTGTGTTCGTATTCTGTCATCATACGATATCGGATATGATTAACAGGGTGTTTGTGGTTGCATCAATGCTCATCCGTTTAGCCTCCTCGGCCGTCCCTAGAAGGGGTATTCAAGTGAGAAGGCTCGGTAAGTGGCACTCTATCGGTATCGTACAATACTGAGCTCACTTCAGGCAATGCTGCTCGAGGACCACCGCTGTATGACCTCCCCGGCAACTTTCGATATGCGAAGGAGTTTTTTACGAAGCCAGCCATAAGCTATGGGGAGTTCCACCAACAATGCACCTCGCTAAGGTTTTCACTATTCTCTTGTACTCTCTGTTCATCATTCTTCCTCTCAGATTATTCGTCTGTGCTGGCACTGTTGGGTACATGTTATTCTCCTTCACCATGTGGCCATGCAGATCATCATATTGGAAGAATTGGGCGGTGTGGAAGGTCCCCGGTAACATCATGCATCATTTCAGCAAACGTAGTGGCAGCATATTCCTCGATGAGCCTCTCAAGAGGACCATTGATGTTCCAAAGACCTACGCTCACCTAATCGCCACTAGAAGGCTTCCTGGGGAGGGCCTCGAAGAGGAAGAGGGTGAAGACTGAATACATGGTGTCTTCGATACATATTTTCTTTTTTGCTAGGGTCTAGTATTGCGTCGGTAGTTCTCTTTTATGCTGCTTTATCTCTCCAATCTTCATTCGATACACGATGATACTCAATTCTCGACGAAACTGAATAACTATTTCGAAAATTCAGCCGAACGTCACAGTCCCATCAATTGGCACATCGATTTCTCGGAGGATGATGATGATGTTGGACGCATGACGACTTGGAAAGTAGTCATGGAGTGATTGTCCGTTAGATTTGGGACTGTCAAGTGCAGAGGAGTTGAGTCACCACTGTGTGGTACTCCTCCTCCTCCTCGACCTATAGTTATATACATAGGGACCGGGCTTGTGAATGAGACGATAATAGCTGTTTGCTTGGTCGTAACCCTGCCTCAAGGCAGACAGAGCATGCTGCTGACCATCAGGTCAGATTACAGAGTCCAAGGGCAAACACTCCATAAGACAAATACTTCCCATGACGGGGAATCCGTTTTCTTCAATTATCCTGTGTCCACTTATTAAACCCTTAGGGCATTCCACGAGGAAGCCTCTGATGGTTCTCCCTGCCTCGATCATCTCACATGCCCAACACATGAGCTTGCTCGATGGCGCAGTAGAGACACGTACACGACGCCAGAACAGTGATGATGATCATGACTCGCATTTCGTCCACGCAGAGGATGCGAATCAGACAGGTCTCCGACTGTCCTCGGCCATCATCGATCTTCTGACCGTAATTCTACTTTATGGCAACACAAGCATCACAGGAGCCGTGAAAACATGCATGATAATAAGTAATAATTATGAAAGGGATAGAGCATCAGCCTAGCATGCAGATCTTCGTCCTATCCTCACTGACGCCAAGTATATTGATCCTCTCATAGGCAGCGATAGTCTTCTGAATTACATCACGAGTAGCTGTGCCACGCTTCTGCACGTAACTGTAGGGTGACGTATGAATGATACAGACTGCATTGCGCAGCTCACCTCTCGAGGTCGTTCATAGAGGCCCATTCGCCTGGGGTCACACGACGTAGGAACTCGGACATATCCTCCCAACACTGAGGGCATCGATCACATCACCCGAGCTAGTTATTACTACCCTCGACTCAGGATCAATTGCCCTTTGCTGACCCCTGTTAGCCGAGTCCGACACTGATGCCTTACTTGCCTACAACCCACGACGGAGCACCCCTCACATTAGTATGATCTCACCTGTATGATCCTTAATGCCTCATCGAAGTCACTACGCTGGACAGCCTCAGAAAACCTCAACCGTGCAAGAGCCTGAGAGCAGCCCAATCCCATCACAGTCCTTGCAGAGTAGAGACCTGTGCCAGACGAAGGATGGCCAGAAGAGTTCGAGGGGTCGTGTAAGTCTTGAGCTTATCGTGAGTACCACTACGTTCCTAAATGGGATACGATGAATGCTGTACCCACAGGAGCACTGACCTGAGCCCTAATATTGGTATAGTGGTTCACTATCTCTGTCTCTAAGGAAGGCTCCAGAGTCGGGGTGAATTCACGAGCTCTACATACGAATGATGGAGCATCTGACTGTGGTGGAGCAACCTAACCTGCGGACGTAAGCTCTCATAAATTCAGCACCAAAGGGCTCAAAGTCCAACTCTTGAGGGACCTCTCCGAGTCTGAAGAAGTTGCAAGGAGCAGCATATGGTAGAGGTTACCTATGCTTACCTGTGTACATTACCGACATGCCTGGCTAGGGCAATGTCCTTATCCTCATTAACAGTATCCAATAATAAGAATTGTATATCGAAACGTGATAGTAGGGCAGCTGGAAGGTTAAGGTTCTCCAATACAGACTGAATGGACGACCATACCAGGCCGGCTACCCTCAATGGAAAGTACTACCTTCTTAGGATTATACCGTCCATAGGCTGGGTTGGCAGCAGCCACCACTGACGTCCTAGCATTCAATGTAGTAGTGATACCTGCCTTGGCAATAGACACCGTCTGTTGCTCCATAACCTGACAAGAGTCTGTTCCTCCATGATAACATAGAACTCAGGGATACCTCATGAATAGCAGTACGGTCAGACTCCTCCATCTTATCGAATTCATCAATACAGCATATACCATTATCGGCCATGACCAGTGCCCCTCCATCCAGGGTCATCTATGAACCAATATTATCACTACTCCATCAGCACCGACACCACGATCAGCAGCAGCAACAAGACCCACCTCATTGGTCTGAGGATCTCTCTGAACACTAGCCGTTAGACCAACTCCAGAGCTCCCTTTCCCTGTAGTATACACAGCCCGTGGTGCTATCAATGACAAGTGTTTCAATAGCTGGGATTTGGCAACACCTAAAGTGAGCATTAGTCAGAGATGGAGGCATGGGTCCTACCAGGATCTCCCATGAGTAAGATGTGCATGTCCCCTCTGATCCGCATACCATCCCCCATCTGTCTAGTACATCCTCCCACTAACAGACAGAGTAGAGCCTGATCAGTCATCTTAACCTCAGCCTATCATCGATATCCAACATCACCTTCTTAACGTCGGACAGCCCATAGATCTCTGGGGCAATACTGCATGCCAATTTATCGACGATATCGGGGTCATCTCTTGCCTCATTAATCTACATGAGATGTCCTACTACTACTATCATGCCCATCTGACCCACCTTCTGAGCCATCTCCGCCTCTTCTGTCTGCTCGGCATAACCCTTCTTATGCTTCTCGATGTCGAACACGTGGATATACCTTTGATAAGAGAACTCCCATTGACGTGCCAAGTCCATGATGATTACATCTCATTCCTGGCTCGACCTCGTTGCCTCATCCTCGAGGCTGCATGCCGCTGAATAGGCAAGTAGATACCACTCACCGTCACAGCATCACCTGCCCTCGATACTGGCTACTACTACACCTAGATTAGATACCCACCAGGTAGAACTGATCTGGTCAAGTGATGGGTTAATGCCAATAGCATGGTCCTAGGTACCGATCCAACCGGTACTGCATGGCTCGGCTCCTGAACTCTTACCTCTTGGTATCTGAGCTCCACTTAGCCATATACAACGACCAGAAGTCGGCCTCCTCACACTACTTGACGAACTTAGATGATTTCCACAAGAGGTTCACAGTACCAAGAGTCTTATTGGTTTTGCAACGAGGAGTAGGACACTGTCCAATAGGCATGAATGCATCCGAATCGACAACCTGATGAACATGGAGATCTCGAAGAAAGTGACCGATGCACTCCAATGACCTGCCATATCGTCTCCCCACAGGTTTCACACAGATATGTAGCAACCTCCACTTTAGCCTTAACTGAGGGGGGAGTGTTCGGCTGCTGCTGACTCGACTGCTTCCCACCCACCTCCAGCGGCCTTGGTAACAACACCATCCATTTTGATGAACCTACCAACACTACCGGACTTAACCTCACGAAGGGGTGTCGATACAGAGTCTTTAGGTAGATGGATGTACACCTAATAAAGGCCGACGAAGACTATGATGAGACCGACTACTTCCACCATCATCTGAGGCCCCACCACAAAGTCCCATTTCATTCGCTCCGGCATCTTATTCTGAGGATCAGCAGTACCCGCGAGGGCCCTCTGTGAGGTGATATGTTCATCCACAGCCTCCTTCCACTCATTCTGAGCTCTTACATCTCTATTGGGGTCTAGGAGAAGGAGAAGGAGGAGAAGTAATAGATGGTAGTATGATTGTATCATGCTGGCCTACTTGGTTGGAAATGTACTGAGGGCTGAGGCATGATGGCATGACACTCCTCTACGAAAAAGAGATGGTATCTGAGGTGAGGATCTCCACTCATATCCTACTACTAGCCGTCTGACCTCTGAGTATTCTTTATAATAGCCTCAATAAGGCCGTCCTCCATGGTAGACTGCTGTAGATCATCCAAACTAATATCAACACGGTCATTAAGACCATCAACCACCTTCTGTAGTTGAGTCATGTACTTCTTAGTCCCTGATACCATTGATCCACCAACAGTACGACTGATCTCACGAGCCGCACGATGTAAAGCCAGCCGTACTGACTAGTTAGTAGCGCGTGGTTACCGCGCGCGTCTCAGTTAAATTACACTCCTAAACTTTCTAATAAACCTGGTATAATATTAGCTTGGTATTTTATCATGGATAAAATGTTATCGAAAAAAACATTAACCAGATGGGTAAACAAATAAGTTTGTCGGTAAAAAATAATTTGGCCTGGAAATGCTGTAGACATGCTTACCCCAAATATCGTCACTAAGACTCTTATCCTGATATTGCTCGAGGAAGTCTCTAATAGCTTGCCTATGGAGACCATACCTATAAACATATACTGTAATCGGTTATATAAGAAGTGTTAATACTTGCTGATAAGATGCTTAGAATCGGTGAAGACTTGAGTGTACTCCCTAGTACTCCTCCTAAAGTCGGGTTGAACTGATGCTGCTGCCATTTTGTCTGGTTACAGTGCACAGGGGATTGACAACAATACCATTAACGCAACAATTGAGGAGAGGTATCATATTCGGACTTCCTTTTTACCTTTCCGGAAGAATCCATCGAGTAACACATCCCCTGTGGGATAGAACCACTCAATGCTACTACCACATAGATGTACAAAACCATAATACGGATAACATCTGGCCATACCATTCCTCTTACCCCAATCATACATCTTCGCCCTCCTTCGAGCTGTATACCCATACACGAGCATCTTCGTCGTGGGTGGTTCTTTATCATCTGAGGGGTCTTCACCATTGTCGGAATCAAAACCCTCCTCGTCTCCTTCATCATCATCATCGATAGGGGATGGGGAAGCATTGGTAGTAGACCTTGGAGTGTTGTTTGAGCTCGCCACCGATATAGCACTATGCCACACAGTAGAAGCCTTCACTGAGGATGCTGGTGAGGATGGTGGTTGCTTCTTTACTTTACCAGTACCAACCTTCGAATGTAATATGACAGGAGTGGCCTCCTTCTCCTAAAAAAGACTCTACCATGATGATGATGATGATATGGTGTATGAATTCTACCTTCATAACATCAGCATTGACCATAGTATACTTCTGGAGTACTGGGTTGGATAAAGGTGCAATGATTGCCTCATCAAAGTCATCAAAACAGTCATCACCAAGATCCCCATCTGGGTCTACTATAGCATCCTAACACATAGTCTGATGACTCACTACTAACAGCAGTACTCAGTACTTACCATAACCCTAGAAGAAAGCCTAGGCCTCTTTAGGTTATACCTCCTAGTAGCCTTCTTAGGTGGTGCACAAGAGCATCTCTCAAGAGTGCTCAAGTATCCCAACGCATACCGATTCTCTTCCCGCAAATCCTTTATCTCGGCACGCCATCTAATGAACATACAATAGGAAATACCCGAGGAGTGGTACTAGTACTTGTGAACAAGTTCTGGACCACATTCGAGGTTCCTGATCAATCTCATGGCTACACTGTCCACTACTCTATCTGATAATACCTGACCATCCAGTACCAGCCTCCCTGCTGGGTTTGATGACGACACTGATGGCTGATGACATGATGACATAATGACGCCTCTAGCAGTTAGTGCAACACTCGAATACTATTGAGGATCGTACTAAACTCGACAGGAGAGTAACTCAAGGATGCCCCTAAATGATGGCTACCATGAAAAACAGCACACGAGAAAGAGCAGAAAAAAGTGCGATGTGCTGTAATAGTAGTTTGACGTACAGAACAGCAGAAGTGCGGTTTTCTACAACTAAAAGTCGCAGGTGACTATTACAGCACCAAAAAAAATCGCACTGTCAAAATAGCGGTTACGCTCTTATTCACAAAAAATGTGTTACTATGAAATCGCAGATGCTGTTTTGCATAAAATTTGTATGTGATTATGTATTTCGAGTGCTCTTTTATCCGTTGCCCTTTTCATACATAACAGCAATCGCGATAAGTAACGTGGCGTTTTAAACGTTTGACGGCGGAGCGAAGTCGTCACTCAAATTGTTTTTCAGTACTCGCCGTAGCATTGTTGCGTCGACGTTTGCTTGTCTTCCAATGGGAATTTTTTTCATGTCTAGTTTACGTTACTTGGTTCCTATGCCTGAACCAATCTGCTGTCATATTTGCAATCGCGGGAGCGACTTTGGGGCGATGGCCGATTGTGACTCGTGTCGTGTGGTATGAGAATCCATATTGCAGGGTGTGCCGATGAGGCTGTGGATTTTACGTCATCACAGCGTTATGTATGCCATCGTTGTCATCGAGGAAATAGTACAGTTATTGAGTACTTGATTGAATCAAGTTGATTCCCGCGTTTCGAAAACCTAAAATCAAGTGTATATCGAATGGAACAGAGTCAGCGCGCCTCATGAATGTAAGTATATATTGCTAAGTAACGTTGGCTGTTACTTGTTATTTGTTTGGTAAAGTTTCACCTCAAATTGGATTGTTAGGAAAAATTTGTTAGGATCTCATATCACCTTTCAAGCCGAAACCTTCTCGGGGTGCCATCGAGCAGTTGTGGAACAATACAGGGCAACAACAAACGTCGGTGGGAATGGTGAAGTAGTGACTAGAGCAATTTATCTCCTTGTATTCTGAAATTTATCAGTTACGTTAAGCGGACTTTCGGCATGTTTGAGGGAGAGGTGGTGGAAGTTGGCGACTTCGCCGGTTATGATTTGATGAGATTCATGAACTCGCGGGTCTCGGAGGCTAGGACTAAAGTGCGACTTGCTGCGACGAGTTCGGGCGGTTGAGCTGCTCAACTTGAGCGATTGTGAGGTATCCTCAGGTGGTCAGGAACGATATTAATGCGCTGTTGAAGTGAAAGCTGGGCTTGAGCAAAGGTGACTTGCAAGCTGGAGGGCGTCTGGCCTCTTGGAGACACGAGCCTCTTATGTGGTTAACGTTGGAATCACACTTTCAAATTGACTCGTCTTCTGCTTTGGTCACATTGGAGGCCGTTAAAAACAGAGTTGCAGGGATAGTGGAGGGAGCAGTCCAAAGCCTTTGGGGTGTTCATTACAGTGCTCAGGGAGTTTGGGAAAAACTGCGGTCAAAACTAATCAATGTTGTAGACTCTAGTTTTCATCTTAGCTCACCAAGGAAGGAAGACTTATTGGGTCGTTTGCAAGGCGAGGTGACGGGGTACCCTGGCGACTTCGATTTCGTCACGGTTACGGTTCCCAAGTTCGTATTTGCTCTCGGTAAAGACTATTCCGAGAGAGTTGTTGAAAAAGTAATTAAGTGTGAACATGGTTCATTGGAGTTGAATGCCGCCTTCGAATTCGGGGGCGAACAAGTTCCCATCGGCAATACTGACATTTATGGTTGTATTGGGACTGCTATCTACAAGTGGACTGCTGAATTACCTACTATAAAATGTATTTCGTGCATGGAAGATGTGGAACAAGTTGAAAAACTCAAGACCTGAAGGAGATGACGTGTCATGAGTTGTCGGTTACATCGACTCAGTCTACATGAAGTTGGACGGGCCCTTTCCTCCAGCGGAGTGGTGTTCGATTCCTTCAGATGACGTCTATGCTCAAAGGACGACTAACCCGTTGGAAGGGTTACACAGGTAGTGATTACGACTGAATCAGTGAGCCTGTGACACTCTCTGATTGTACAGGGTTCTCTCACGGTCAGATATCTAAATGAAGTCGTATCGAAAAGGAATCCCAAAATTGTGGTCTTTATCAAGGCATTGAAGAACGTGCTGATCCGTTCAAATGCGGAACTTAATTCGATCGACCTGGGGTAAACGGCGCCGGCTTCAGCAAGCAACGAGAGAGCGTTTCATCTTCTACCAGTCTTGGAAGGCTGGGCACCTACCTGATGAAGATTTCTTAGACAAGATGTCGGAGTTATGCGGAGTGAAGGAGGAGCATTAAGTTTATTCATGTTGAACGTACAGTAGAAATAAAGTTTCTGAGCATGATACTGAACCGCAATCATGATTTCTCATCTTTACCTCTCGAGCCATTGTTGTTGCGTGAACACAGTACGTGTAGAACATCTATGTAATATCAACAAAAGCATAGCGGAACACGCGCAGCAGGGAATTTCCATAGCAGATGTGAGAGATAGATGAAAACCATGCGTATGTGCGTGGCACGCACATAACAGGAAAACCACACAACGGACACATTTCGCATATAATAGGACTGAAAGAAATGAAGAGTTGCGTAAGTACGGAAATCGTGAGAGAATCGTCCGGGTGATTGCAGATGAAACCTCGCCCAGTGAGGAAATCGTACTGCCCGTAGCGGAAGAACGATCCCAGAATGTAGTACTTTTCGGTAAGATAATCTCTCTTACCCACCGATATTTAAAAAAAAATACGAGGCAGAAGATAGAAATGAGCAGAGAAAGTGGCAGAGAGGCGTGTGCCATAATGTATTTCTGTCGAAAGGAAAATTGAAAAAGAGGAAGTTCTAAAAAAAAACTGAAATGCATTTCTGGCTAACAGAAATGAGCGTTTCAGCAGATGTGCGATTTCGCATAATGTCGTAGCGCTTATGTAAATCAGAGTGCTATTATGTGTAATAACAGTGCGATTTTGTAAATAGCTGGCGCTGTTTTGTCGTTTAGAAAACAGCAGACACATAAGAGCATGTGCGGTCCTTACGGGCCAAAATAGAAAACAGCACTCCGCTGTTGTGCTGTTGTGCTGTTTTGTATTGTACCGTAAATGATACTGTGATGAGCCAGGTTCGATCCCGGCAATACACATGTTTGAAACTAGTAACAGCAGCCACGACACATAGACCCTCCATATATCTTCCTCACCACCACAGGTAACGATTAACCCGTAGGGATCAGCAATCGCCTTTTCTTTATCTTAGCATCAGTCATTAAGACTCTTTATCAGAGTAATTAGATCCTCATTAAGGCTATCATCCCGAGACGATATGATCGATAGATCATGTACAGGAGCATCTCTAATGCTTACGATAACTGTTCTTGTCCCTCAAGAGGGCAGTCCTCAAATGGTTGGGAGGCAGAAGCAGCAGTGATATTAATACTCCTCCTACTACTACAGTAGGTTGCCTCAGCTGTACTCGAGGAATAATACTTCTCTCCCCTTGCAGTAAAAATGATGTCTGGTGTGAATCTCTGCCAGAGTAGATGTATCAAGGAGCAGTCTGGCGGCGACAATGAGTCATTTTTCAGCGATGATACTACGACTGTTACTCCAAGTGTCTAATAATCCTCTCAAACACCATGGAAAGGCAGATTACCTCAATCTAGTTGGTGATGCCTTAAAAGCCAATTCTCAACAACTTGCGGGCATGAAACGAGGTGAAAGAACAGTCGGTCATGGTGTTTATAACTTGATGGAAATGGTTATACTTCCATTGAGAAAGATCACTGATGTCCATTGATCAATAAGCAGTGGATGCATCTACATTTCTATAATACTAACGAGTCCTGTCTAGTACCACCTACTAGGGAGCCACGATGAAAGCATTCTATGAATTCGTCATGGAAAAATGGGATAATGTCTGCCAAGAACTTTTCCAATTGGTCCTCAAAGATTCTCCAGACTCAGTTGCATGCCAATACGGTAAAATCGGTTACAACATTTATGCGCTGGATTCAGCAGCCCTTCTACCAATAATGCTTTTGCCGCCGCCATCAGTACTTGGACTTCAAGTTGCTTTACAGATGTGCATGCGTGCAGCCATACAGTGCATCCATATTTAACATGCAATGTGATAATCCACACGCAATAGTAATACAATCGTATTTGTACGATGACCACGTTGACTTAATAGCAGTGTAGGCTGAAGAGGATCCGACTCATTAGACAGGTCTTCAGGCTGAGGCGGCCGTACATAGGAGTTGATCCATACTTGCCTGCATATCCAAGTAGGAAGGGTCTCCTCCATATGACTGATGTAACACAAGTATATTAAAGTGTGAGAACCAGAGTCGGTAACATGCTGTTTATTACTACATATCATCTAACAACACCATGCAGGATTACTTTTTCTTAACACAACTAGATGATCCCTGCCAACCATCCACGATTGCCGAATACTATGAGTGTCGGCAGTAGTACCATCATCAGAAGAAGACATCACCGGGGGGAACATCTATACTATCAAAAAAATATTAAGACATGTATGAGGATGAAAGCATCATCACTGCTGTTGAGAGCAAATAATTGCCCAGCATCAGACTGTTGTTATACACATTAGCAACATCTATCTTATTGTTGAGTACAGGAGCTATTCGGGTAGCTATTGTTAACAGGGATGGACACGTCATACGATGGAGATACATCTGTTGAGGAAGATGAGGACAGTCCTGGTGGGATATTCTGAGAATTAACACCATCATTACGACCAAGGGTTATATTACTGGAGTAGGGGGATCATGATGATCTCCGTCAGCATATGTCGTAGTTGTAGCATAGAATGCTGTTAATGCGGTGAGAAGTGGATTCATGATAGAAGCAGCAGGGCCATCGACTAGGCCTAATACCAGGTTACTCTTCAGGCCACCATACCAAGCAACTACCTTCATTCTTGTTAGTCTGTGTGGCGTCACCAGTCGTACCAAGGATTGAGAGGGCTTGCAGTAGTAGTAGAATTCCATCACTCGACTTGGCAAAATCACGTATCTTATCGATGCTTATTCTCCTCCTATAAGTATCATACCATTAAGACACACTTGAATGGCTATCTCCATTGCTCTTAGTGCTGGCTCCTCTGAAGTAGTATCACTATTTCGAACAAGCATTGGACTTGAACAACTAGCTGGGGTAGTAGAAGTAGTGGCTGTTGAGGTTGCCGTCTGACGTGATGGCCGGACGGTGGCCGCAGCAGTGAAGCCTGACAGATGCATGAACCACAATCCTGTTGCTAGTGGTGATCATACACCTAGACCCACTATGATAATAATCATTAGCGTAATCATCATAATAGTTCAACATTCCGGCGTCCTGAGCACTACCTAAACCTGGAAAGGTATTTAATCACTGTTCAGCTGTTCAGTACCCACCTCGAGGGTTCGTTGCTGGTGTAGGATATGGAGGCTCCAATCTAGATTCGCCATCATTAACCTGGTTAAGCTATTGGAGGATAACAGTGATGGGATGGGTATAACCATAGTTGGATGATGATTATGATGACAGTCAACATGATCATATTGATAATATCCAGCAAAATCATCATGATCATCATCATATTCACTATACTCATGTGCACTACCAGCACCCGTATAGGGTACAGTATAATAAGAGTAGCCCGTATCATGTCGATCTCTACTGTACTACCAATGGCAACATCATTTATGTGTAGCGATAAGCAACTACTCACTGGGTAATCCTGTGGCTTTGGTGGCCTATACTTCAACTCCTGTGGGGTGTGAACGTAGAAGCACTGCCCTTTACGTGCAAACTCACAATTAGGACCATACCGACAGAACCTCGAACAACCAAGTTGAAAAGAAGTGGTTGACAATTCTGCCCTTGAGATGCTACTTAGTCTTCAACAACCTTTGATGTCTACTAACTTCGATCTCATCATGTCTGATTGCCAGAGGGATATACCTTGGGGGCTCAGTGGCGGCATCAATGATGGGGCTACTGTAGGAGAAGAACAGGAATAGCAGCAATAGGATAGGTCGCAGGAGCAGTCCTATCATTATCACCTTGCAATGGGCCCATTACCGGGAACGATATTTTCCAACAATTGCCCATCGGCGGGAGAGTCCTCAGCCTCTTTGCGACTACTCCCCACTAGGATTGGAATAATAGACAGATCATCATGGCTTAACATACTAATACTCACCACTCCCAGCTCCTGGGTTATTGACTATTTCGCGTAAATGATCATCGTTGTAGAGGGATATACCATCCATGTTATTGGGAGTAGTAGGGCCATCCTTCATAATGATAATGAAGAATAGTAATACTACTCGGAATCAAGATTGACTAACACTGATGACCTTGAAATTGAGGGAAGGACATATTATCTCAGTAGTGGCTTATTAATAAAAAGTGGTAGTAGTAGTAGTAATGCCGCCATCACATAGAATGGCCCCATGAGCCCTACCAATAACAACAGCATCAGCAGCAGCAGGACTGATGACCACTTGCTCAGAATTGGATACAGAGTAGTGAGTGAGTAGCGGAGGTTACAACACTTAGATGCTAGTAGTAATAGTAGGCACCTTTGAGTATAGATGACCAGGATTGATGTCCTACTTAACTGATGGTTAAGAATTGTACAGGGTCATAATAACAAAACAATGATACCACTACTGTTGTGTTCCTTCTTGTTCTTCTTCTTCTTGTTGATGATGATGATGTTGTTGTTGGTTACCACCATGATATCCTCCTCGATGTCCTTGTCTACCTTGCTGCTGTTGTTGGTGATGTTGTTGTTGCTGCTGTCCCCCACTAGTACCATAATAGCCACCGGTCCCTCGAGCACCTCCTCTCTGGGGTGATGGGTTGGGCATAAGGCCACCACCTTCAGCAGCATTATCACCTTGACTCCCTGGTGTGACTAGAACTCCTCCTCCCATCATGTAGCCTCCACCACCACCTCTACTACTCACTCCAGCGTGGTTATCCCCACCCATCTGTTGTTGGGGTGTCGCCGAAGCTACTGCCATATAGTAGGGCGGCGGTGGTATGTTAGTGGGAATACCTCCTCCAGGGTACATAGGGGAAGGGTACATGCCTCCAGGTGGTGGAGGAACATGCATATTATTCATGCCAGATCCCATCGATGACGAACTTCCTCCTCCTCCTTGTTGTTGTTGTTGTTGTTGTTGTTGTCCTGGCATTGGTTGCATTGGCTGTCCAGGATATTGATAGATACCAGGTCCCCCAGGTAGTGGTAAAGGAGCACCCATAGGAATCATACCCATAGGCCCTGCACCAGGCATAGGTGAGCCCGTAGGCGGTCCTGCACCAGTCTGCTGCTGCTGCTGTGGCATCATATGCGGCGGTAATGGCCCTTGCTGTTGTTGTCCAGGGATGAGAGGCATGTAGGCAGTAGCTGCTGCTGTACTACCACTACTAGCTGCCATTGCCGGTCCCATAAGCATCGGTGTTCCTACTCCTGGTGCAACCATTGTAGCTGATGATGATGATGTTGATATAATATCACGATAATTAGATGACTTGGAACCATCAGGCCATTCAGTAGACACTGCTGATGTATTCTCATTCTCACTGGACTCCAACAACCTATCTTCAATCTCTGCCAAAGTCGATGTATCAAGGCTCTCACTATCACATAATGGCATGAATGATGGTGGTGTTATATTAGGTAAAGGCATCGGTTGTAACCCAGCAGCAGTAGTCATGAAGCCAGGATAGTGTGGAGGAAGGGGCATTGATATCATCATACCAGGATGGATAGGACCACCTTGGGTCGGCATCATACCAGGATGCATAGGACCTCCCATCATAGGACCATGTGGTGGTACAAATGGAGGAGGAGAGGGGAGGGGACCACCACGCCCATTAGCACCACTACCACCTTGATACTGCTGTTGTTGCTGCTCTTGTTGTTGTTGTTGCCTGCCTTGTGAGGTTTGTGTAGATCCTCCTTGTTGCTTAGTATTAGTACCACTAGGTGGTGAAGAGGGAGGAGGAGGAGCAGCAGCAGCATTCCCCTGCTGGTGAGTAGTCGTAGCAGCAGGGGCAGGAGCGGTAGTCTCATAGGTGTCATAATTAACATTCTTAAGAGTACCAGATAGACTACCACCAGGAGTAACATTAATATTAAGTGTAGCTCCTGGTGTAGGTACTCCAGGTGTAAAGGTGTTAGCATTGGGATTAAATGAGAATGCACTACGCTTTGGACCACCACCTGTTGCCGCCTCTAAAGTGAGATTATTCTTCCTACTACCAGCTCCCATCATACCACCACCACCTTTACCACCCACAGGAGGCTTCCCAACATCTACTTGTTGCATTCGAGCATTCTGTGCATTATGAACAGCGTTCATCATAAGCTGACTAGGTTGATGAGTAGTAGTGGTAGGTCCTCCTTGATAACCAGGACCAACCTGCGGTGAGCCTTGAGGCCCAGTTATTACTACTGGACCCTTGCCTTGCCCCTTTCCTTGTCCCTTCCCCTTACCACCCTTAACTGCTGTTGCTGTGATAGGTGGAGTCCCAGCAGCAGCATTGATATTATTATCCAAAACACCGCCACCACCTTGTTGTTGTTGCCAGGGTGTGGACCCTCGACTGCCCTTAGCTGCCCCTAGCTGTGGACTAGCATTACTGCTGATCCATTCTTCACGATCTTTCTCGGGTAACTTAGGTAATGCTGGCTCTAGATTTAATGCATTAATACCCTTCATCTCGGTAACTATAGGGGATACACCAGCATTAGCAGCAGCATTAGCAGCAGCATTAGCAGCAACGGATGGTAGCTGTGGGATAGGCTTCCTATTGGTCATGACTGGAGAGGGCTAAGGAGAATGAGAATATATAATGATGGTAATGGTAGTAGTACCCCTAGAAGGGAATGCTGCTGCTTCACTGTAGATTGTAGAGCTTGATTATGGGTTTTAAGATTCTCTTGAGTTAATGGTTGAGGAGGATGATGAGGTGATGATGTCGATGATGCTGAAATGATGATGTATACATCTTCAAATCGGTAGTGATTACCGTGATGCTGTTGGTGTTTGGGTGAACGGCCTGCAGCAAGCTGACTGACCCTTACTGAGGCTGGCTCAAGGTTGAGGGCATTAAGCCTCTGAGAGAAGTAGCAGTATGACTAGACACTTGATTATTATGTAGTATTACCGTATTGCCAGCACTAGCTGCAGGTGGTCTAGGATGTCGCTGACCTGCATCTAGCATACGTAAATGGCTCTCGAAATCAGCCTTCATCCGAGCTCGTTCAGATATCTAATATTAATATCACTACAAGATGGGAATAATACTCTTACCTGTTCTGGAGATAATTGAGGCTTCTGATGTTCATTTGTAGGGGCATGTGATGTACCTGCCCCTCGTGCTGTTGCAGTAGCACGAACAGGAGGAGGAGGAGCTGTTGTTGTTTATGGCCAGTAGCATAACCACCCGTACATACTACTACCACTACTAACCTTACCCATATTGATACAGAAGCATGTTGCTACTACCTTGAACAGCTGAGAATAAAGCCTCCTCATCTTCAACACCTGTGCCTTCCTCCTTAGCGCCATAGTTCTGTGAATGTTGCTCTATTTCCCTGATATTAACTTTAATCCCTCAAGGGCCCATTAAGTAGTTAGTACTTGGCAATCCTCTCAGCTCTACGTTGTTTTTCAGGTGATATCTTAGAAGTATCCAAAGTAGTAGTGTATCTAGGAATGTACATGTTACATTATAGACTCTTGCTGTTATATACTATTACAATGCCTCATTGAATGTACTCTTAACATTGAACTTCCTTTCATTCACAGCAAATTGATCCCAATGTGCTGCTGCAGCACCACCTGAATAGTAATAAAGTGACGGTGTCCATAGGCCTTACTACTACTACTACTACTACCCTTGCCAATCCTAGAGTCATCAAGACTCGTTTCTAACGGCTTGTCCAATCTATCATAATACAATTATAAATATGATAGGCATACGGAGTAATAATACGCATCATCAGTTTTACTATCCCATCGCTGAAGGACTCTCTCCTTGCCTGCTAAACTGCTCCTAGGTAGAATCTCTGAGTCAGTCTTGAATCCACTTGAATGGAGTCCCTAACAACAACTAGTATTATCTACAACATCGGTATAGTCCTTACTACCTTATCCTTATCTATGCCAGCTACAGGTACATCATGAGCTGTCAACGAAGCCACCTCTTTCCCAGGTACTAGCATTTCCTCATAGATAGGTCCAGATAACTTATTCCCTGTTGGGAGTTCTCTTGCATACTTAAGAGCTATATCAAAATCCTTCTCTGGCTTCACCCCCGATAATATCCCTTCATAAATAGTCTGATTTCGCATCTTAACTTCAACAGTCTTGCCAACTAATGATAACCACATAAACATCATCCTCTCCCTATTCATATCAGGCTGCGTTCGACTTGGTGGTACCCGTGGTGGAGCAGCACCAGTAGTAGTATTACTCCTAATACCAGATGAGGGTGTTGATGATGTCGCCACGGAAGGTGTTACTACAGTAGTTGGCATACTACCAGAACAAGGGTGATAACAGCAGCTGTAACATAATACACTACGTTCTCTTATACCCTGCTAGATGCGGGGGAAACACACACAGATATCGGAAATTTTCACGCACGATGAACCAGCGCATAATCGTCCGCTACCCATATGAAATGAATTGATAGCCCGCTGTGCATGGTTCAGATCTCGGCATGATCATGATGAGGGTAGGTTGCTGATCAGAGCTGTGAATCTCTACCTACACAGCTCCTCCAGACGTCCTAGTCATCGGTGGTGCTCGTGGTGGCATCTTTTTACCACTCATACCTCCTATCAGTACCTCTACTTTCAGGCTACTACTTCTCATCGAAGGCCTCCCTCGGATAGCTGTTGCTAGGTATGCTCTATTATCATACCCCTTTCTGGTGTATTCGTGTTGCGTCGATGACTTAACCACCACTGTCACCACCTTATTAGCCTCCATGAATGACTATTATCATCAACATGAACAACATCTAGCTACTATCCAACACGGTGCCCCCATCACACATTTCCTCTATGTTGGTCATAATCATCATCATACTACCTTTCATGGTGGGGAACCTCATCAACAACCTACTGGCTTCTTTCGTGGGAGGAAAAGACGACATCGTCATCATCATCGACATCATCATCATCATCATGATGAAAATGATGGTAAACATCATATCTCAGAAAATCACCAGAAGTAGTACCCTAAGCCAGGTCCAAATGTGTATATGATACCTGGATCCTTCACAGAGAACACACTCCTCAACACAGCTGCTATCACCCGTCTGATGCAGGTATCATCATCAGTATCAGCCCTGTCCAGTATCCTCTCTCAGCTATTGGCTGGTCAATGTTGCGCCAAAGATACTCATCGATGCTGCTCCTGCTCACCGAGACTTGTCCTATGATCCAGTTGTCGAGTGACCATCCTTATTAGCAGCTCT